TATATATATTATTATAAATGAATAAACAGAAATTATCGTTAAAATATTCAGTTATGTTATTAATTATTATGTATTATATATACAGCATAACATTTTCTGACCTTATAAATTTGATATACATAGTTACGATTTTTAACTAATGAATTGTGACGGTTTTCAATTGTATATCTGCATTTTTAATGCTTTGTATTAAAATATACACATTGTAAAGTCTTTTAGATCAAGAGAAGACCATATACTTACACTCGATTCTCATGTCGAAAGGAATTGTATTATTGGGATTATGTACTATTGGGAACATGGGACGTCATTTTACACTAGAACGTTTTCTATTTACCTACACGCATATAGTTCCTGTACACTGGATAAGTGTAAGCGAAAACGCTTGCCGCGCGGCAAAATGAAACGCGGTAAACAATAAACACATTAGGAGTTGTAAGCTTATTGGCTACCGCATCACATTCTGTCGGCAAGCGTTTCCGCGTCTAATGCAGTGTTGCCAGATGCAAGGGAATTTCTCGAAACCTAGGAAGAATTACAAGAAAAAAAATGAAAAAGGGGCAAAAAGTTTTTTGTGAAAATAAGTTAAATTTAGACCTATGTTAACATCATACGCATTATTTATTTCTTTAAAACTTTTCTAATATTGCACAACAAAAATATATTATTCATTAATTTATAGCACTTATTATTATATATTTTCCTTTATACTATGTTTACATTGGCATTGGTAAAACCGTTTTAGTAAAAACTGTTTTATAAAACTGGCCAATACGTCGTACCATTCTTCTGAGCCAGAGGAACAGCTGATTGGCCAGTTTCATAAAACGATTTAACAATGTAATAATTTTACCCTGTAACAAAAATCTGTTCTGTTTCTTCATATTTATTATAATTCCAAATTGTGATATATTAATAAAAAAAATAATTTATGATTCTTTTTTAATAAAATTTATAAAAAAACAAAAATTTTGTGAATTTAAGAAAAATAGATGAAATTAGCAAAAAATTTGGATAAACAAGAATTTTGGGGAAAATGGGAATAGGGAAAACTAGGGAGATTATCATATGCAACAGGGAAATGGCTTCGTCGGTATCTGGCAACACTGGTCCAGTGTGCAGAAGCCATTCGTCAGTTCTAGCTTGCACTAGTTCGGTTCAGTTCAGTTCCAGTGCAGTCCTAGTGCAGAAAAAGAAAAAAATCTATGATTTTTATGCATGATTTCAAGCTTGTTTCCTTGCATGTAGCAATCAAAAGATTGAAAATGATCACGTAATCGGGCAGACAGCATCTTCAGAATAGAAACAATTGTGCTAATTTCGTAGCTTTTGTCAAATGTCAGATTTCAAGTAAAAATGTCATGGAATAAAGATCAAATAATAATATTAATAGAGGCATATAAAAACGAATTTACATTATATGCTATTAAAAATCCAAATTATCACAATAAACATTTACGCAACGAAGCTCTAAAACGAGCTAAAACTAAATAATGAAGTACAAAAAGTACGTCTAAACACAAATTATAAGGAATGTATAAATACATTGCATTCCTTAAAAAATAATTTTAATGTCGAAAATAAAAAAAGGCATTCATGACAAGCAGAAGATGACGTAAATATTCTATTCTTAATTTAATCTTTTATTCTCGTATTCCAATCTAAATCTTACTCTTTCCATTTTAGATTTATAATCCAAATCTTCGGTATTTTGAGATGCTCACATTTTTAGAAGAACATTTTGTTCCACAAAAAAGTATTTCTACAAGAATAAGTGGAATCAAGAAAAAAGTAACATAACAATCAAACAAAATATTAACATGTATAAAGATATAGTTCAAAGATATATGTTTATTCTTTATCATTTATTTTAGACTGATTCAAGCATTTCACCTCTGGATAATATTTCAAAAGTGATAAGTCAAAATATAGATGATGAAATTCTTGAAGACAAATTAGAATTCACAGGAATCTCTAAATGAAAACACACAATGGAAAAATATTGAATCACAGTCTCAAAATTTATCTGACAAATCTCTAGGCAAGGCTTCATCGTCGTAAGGCAATTTTTTTCTGCAGTACGAATTTCTCGAAACATCGACGGATTTTAATTGAAAATAATTATTCTGTTGAAAAAATAATTCTTTAAATAATTCTTCCATCTTCAGTGAAGGAACAAGAGAAGGGTCTGACTTGGAATTTGTAGCGTCAATAATAAAACAAATTAAAGATGAAAAAATAAGACAAACTGATGACTGATATCATTTTAGTGACAATGTTAAGAAAAATAATAATTTAATTAACTTTTAATTAAAAAATTAGAGAAGAAGAATATGTTTAATATTAAAGCGATTAATATTAAAAAATATTATCCTATTAAATTTGTGAATATGAAAATGTAGTTTCGAAAAATAAATA